CCCCTACTCTCCCGCCCCCTTCCGTGTGTTGCAGGTTGCCACAAGCATTACCCCCCAGGGTCGCCGGTTCCTCTTCAAAGACTGCGTATGAAATCCATGCAAGAATCGACAGAGGTTTCTCCGGGCGTGCTCGCTCGTGCATGAACGGAGCACGAACGGAGCACGAACGGAGCACGAATGGAGCATGAAAGAAGCTCGAAGGCATTCGAGAGTCCTCACTGGGAGAGTTTCCGTCGGTCCAGATGGATCCGGAAAAAGACTTGGAGACTCCCGTTGCGGAACGCGTCGACCGTCGCGTGATGGAAACCCGGCGACAACTGACTCGCCTCGAACGCGTCCGACAGCTTCCGGGAACGAATAGAAAAAAAAAATGCAATGAATTCCGGGAGAGCGACTCCGGCAACTCTCGGCGACCCCCTCGGCGACCTTCGACTCACCATGATCCGATACCGTTCCGCCATCTTCTTGAAGTGGCTGGATTTCTCGTCCAGCAGGGATTCGTGGAAGGAATCCCCCGATCGAACCAGGAAACGCCCGGCGAATTCCGCCGAATCTGTCGGGGGAAAAAGGCGGAAAATGAAACGATCGCGCCCTTTCGCGAACGGCCGCAGCGAACGCGAGGGGGTCGGACTCACATTTCTCGCCTTCTGGGTCCTTGGTGATCACTGGAACGAGAAAGAGAAAACACCTTAATGCACACTTTGCCACCGCGATTCCACTTTTTCCTCCGAGTTTTGCGACATCTACGCTGACTCGGTGATAATCGAGGGCCTTGGCACGGCGAACCGCGTTACGAAATTTTTTTTTACCTTTTTTTTTTCATCGTCGCTCATCCGAGACGGGGAACGGACTCACTGCCGAGGTAGATGGCGACGGCGACGATCCCGAGCACCGCGGCGATCACGAGCAAGATGGAGCAGCCGAGGATCACCCGGCAGAGGGAGCGGTTGAATAACCGCTTGTAGCTGGAGTTGGTGATGTCGTCGGGGAAGAGCGTCGCCGACGTCGTCGCCGACTGCGGCAGGTGAGTGTAGATGTAATCCATCGCTCCCCCTTCCATTCCGCCCTGTCCGAATTCAAAACGGTCAATCGAGGGAGGCAGTGGCGGTCAATCGAGGGAGGCA